GCTTCTGCAGTAGGGGACACAGGGCATTCTGATAGCTGGAGCCTGACCTGCCCAGGGCACACTAGAGAATGCCCATCTTGTCTCCATTCTACAGTGGAGGAGACAGACTCTGGTCTGACATCTCACAGCTTCTGAGAGGCCTAAAGTCTCCAAGGCAGGCTTTTACTCCAAGAAAAAAGAGGGGGAAATTGTTTGTGAACTGATTTTGTCCTGAGGGTGGAATTTCTCTGTGGTCCAGGCCACCAGGAAGAGAGCTCCAAGAGTCAGACTGGTTTGGGAGGAGAAAGCTCAGCTCCCAGAGACTAGAATTGGCTAGCTGTCATGGCAGCCAGGGAGACAGTTACAAATCTGAGAACTTCAGCTAACAGCTTCTAGTGCGCAGAGCACTAGCTGGTGGGTGTGTATGCAAACGTGGGCTTGGATGGTCCTATGAAGGTGTTTTACCCTCTGTGTACAAGCCATTCCCGTTCAGGTACATGGAGTTTGATGTGTGTGCACCCTCAAGCAGCCTGTTTGGTCCCCACACAAAGGTAGGCACTTTTGATTGGCTTTGCGTTCCCACTTCTCGGAGGAGGACCTCCAACCTTTTCTTCAACTAGTGGACCCAGACACTATGCAGCCACCACCCTCTTCAAAAGAAGGTTTTTGCATGGCACAAGCCAGTTGCTGTGTTTAGAACCGGTGCAGAGCGCTCAGCCACCCAGGGAATCCTTCTGAAGACTAGCCCCGCTGCACCCAGCTGTGAGACCTAGGGAGCACATTTCAAAGCAACCCCTGTAGGCCTTTATGCTACAGCGCGGTGGTTGGAGGAACGGTGGTTGGAGGAATGGGAATCTAAATGCCGCTTCCAAGGTAGTTACTGTTCTGCCAGGCTGTCTGGCTTCCGAACTCACAAACGGAAATTTCAAGTGCCAATTCGACACACTGGCGCGTTTGAGCATAGGGACTCAGGGTGTTGAAAAGCTGAGTCCGAAGTCTTACGAAGGTGAGTGCACAGTCCCAGCAGAAGCTCTGGAGTCCCACCGCCTCGGTGTCTGCATGACCTCCGCAAAGGCGACGCCTTTCTGAATCGCTCCCCAGGCTCGGAAAGCTCAGCCCTTTAGGGGTTGGGGCTTGGGATCCCGCAGCTGTCCTGGCAGTAACGACAGCCCCTAATGAGGAGCCTCCGCGGCTCACCTGCTCCGGCCCTTCCTCCACCCTTGCAATGCGCCCATCCGAGCCCGCTAATTGCAAAAGTCTGTTGGCACAGCCTGTAACCCAGATGGAAGCGTCAGGGACAGATGGGGTCCAAGCACCTAGGGGGAGCACCCAGGAGCTTCCCTAGTGCCTGTTGAGGGGAGGGGCAGCATCAGATTCAAGAGTTCCCCAGTTGGAGCTAAGCCAGTGTGGGGACTGCTGGATCTGGGGTTGGGGCTGGTATGGGTTCTATCAGACAGACTCCTATAGGACAAGCCCGCTGCCTGAGCTTATGAGCTGTTTTCCTATGCCATTCACTTGCCCTCACACAGGTCCCTGGCCTGTAATATGGGACAAAAGCACCTCCTCAGAGTTAACTGTGAGAAATCCATGAGTTGACAGACAACACTCTCAGGGCTGTGCCCACTAGCCTTCAATAAATGTGTCCACCTCCTTGTCCAGTCTGTTTATTCATAGCCTAAGTTGCCAGCTCAGCTCTGGGTCCTAACTGCACCCTTCTTCATTAACCTGCAGCCAGACAATGCAGCCATATGGCAATAACTCGGCCCCTGGGAGCGAGCTGAAAATTGGTGTGTGTGTGTGTGTGTGTGTGTGTGTGTGTGTGTGTGTGATCCCTATCTAGTGAGCACCCCCAGAGCCGAGCCTCCACCCTAACCTCTGCTTAGGATGCCCCTATACTCTGCCAGGGAATGGAGTAATTGCTCTGAATGGGAGACTGGGCTTTTGACCAGTGGTCAAGCCAACTCAGTTCCTGAGCCTCTCCCCAGCAGTGGGGGCGGATTTAGGAGCATCACTATTTATTCTTTGGGCAGCCAGGCCTGATTCTGGTCCCCATGATAGGTCTGCAGAATGACAGTTGCTCACCCACAAGATGTCTTACTGCCCTTGGTGTATGGCTGTTGGTGAAGGCCTCCTGGGATCCCTTCTGGTACTCTGTGGGGAGGGAAAGGCTTGACAGAAAATCCATAGTCAGAAAGGAGTCTATTGGAAGAGCTGGAGGGTGGGGGATTCGCCTACGATGAGCTTGCAGGCTGCATAAAAATATTTATTTAATACAGTTCACATGGACTTCTATGCTGATTCTGCTCTAGTCGGAAAGAGACATTTCTCTATCAAAGAACACATGAGAACATCATAGGAGTACATGTTCCAACATAGCACCATAGCTGGTACAGGCATGTGGTGCTAGCTACTCGGGAAGCTAAAGAAGGAAGACTGAATGTCCAAAACCTGCCTGGGTTACAAGGCCAGCTTGGGCAACTTAGTAAAAACCTGTCTCAAAATAAATAAATAGGTAAATAAATAGGACAGCTGTAGAGTGCATTGCTCATCATTCACAAGTTCAAGCCCATGTACCCAAACTGGGCCACAAACAAGCAAACCTCCAGCATTTTACCCACAAAGGAGAAGGAGCACAGGAGCCCCAGCTCATCAAGGGTGTCCCTGGTACTGCATCTTCCCACGGCCACACTAAAGACCTCGGCCTCGCTGCGGGACACCTCTGGGCCTCGGAAACGTGTTCCTCCACTCACGTGTTGTGCCAGTTTGCTTCACACTTCTGCTCTCTGTCACTAGGATGTGGAACTCCTCGGTGGCATTAGAAGTACTGGCTCAAGCCAGTCCCACCGAGAGTCCTCCAACACTGAGCCCGGGGGATATCAGTCCCTTTGCTAGGACTTGGGCCCTATGGGCAGAGTGGGGAACAAGGGTTCTGTGTGTGTGTGTGTGTGTGTGTGTGTGTGTGTGTGTGTGTGTGGAGTGGGGGGATTGCAGAGGCTAGGGGAGGTGGCTCAGTTCCTCTCCCTGTCCCTGCTCACCGGGCTCTGCCCGCTCCACCCCCCATCGCTAGTGGAGTTCTGAACTTAAGTCTCTCAGATCTCGTGTCTGATGAGTGCTTGGGCCCTGTGGCTGAGAGCTGTGGAGTCACGAAGGCCATGAAGAAGGACATGGCAGAGTAGAGGCTGAGGAGCTGCTCAGAACTGGAAGGAAAAATAAAATCCTGGAAGGAGGTCACTCATGGCCTTCTGGAGACACCCGCAGATCAACAGTGACCTGAGACCTCCGTCCTGACTTTGGGCAGCCTCAGCCCACCCTGGGTCAGGAGCGACTTGCTGCAGTTGGAGGTCTACTGTGTCTCTTCCTGAGCACTTTTTCAAGGTATAGGGGGGAGCAGCCAGGAGCTCAGGCCTTCCCACTGCGGAGGACCTAAGATACTTGGGGACTGAGGTGGCAAAGCCGACTGATTTCTTTCCTTGCAACAATTGTCCTTCTATGCTTAAGACCTGGGCAGGCAAACACCACAAAGTTCCCCATCTCTGCACCACCAGGTTCTTAGCTAGGCTCTGGGGATTTACAAAGTCCTGGCATCCTTAGGTTTGGGGGGGGGGGGCAGGGGCTGGACCAAACACCTGGCAAATTTTATTTCAAATGGGAATTCAGAACAAACAGGATTAGACCCTGCTGAGCCCGACCTTTCTCGGGTACCCACAGATCCTCTCCCTTTCTCTTCTCTGGGTCCCAGTAATTCCGAACGACTCCTAGCCTTAAGGAGAGAAGGAGGGGGAAGAGGAACAAAGGACAAAAGAAAAGGATGAAAAGGAAGAAGAAAGTAGTGGTGGTAGTGATGGTGGTGGCGGCGGTGGCTTCTGTGATAAGCGAGGTGGGGCCTGAAACATCCCACCACGGAGAGCCTGCACTAGCCAACAAGCGACAAGCAATACTCGCTGGAGATGGGAGAAGTACCTGTGTCAGAGCTATCAGACGGGTCCACGGAAGGATCCACCCTCACTTAGGACCGAGTGAAGGACTCCTGAATGGGCTGGACTTTGAGAACTAAAAACGAAACAAAACAAAACAAAAAAGCAGGGAAATCTCTAATTCCAAGTCTAGATAACTTCTGCCAGTGGCCACCAAAGATGCCATCTGTGAAAGGTCTGCTACCCGGCACCAGGCTGACACGTCAGAGATCCTGCTTTTGAGCCAGCACTGAGCCAGATCTGCCTCAAGTTTTATCAGAGAAGCTGAAACTTTAAATTTTTCTGCACAGATTCTCTCTTGAAAGTGAAGACCCACATTTGCAGTGTAGGATTCTAAGAAACCCGGTGGCCGAGAGAAGACAGAAGTTGCCCAAAGAAAAGTTCCCCGGGCTGCTGGAGTGCGCGAGAAAGCTGCCCTAAGGCCAGTAAGGTTACCGGAACCCTTACTTCGCTAGCGCGTGGGTAGCAAGTATGGAAAGAGGATCAAAGGGTTAGTGAGTCCTCATCCAACCCCCCTGCAGAACTTTGCTGTGCCTGGGGCCCCAAGAGTCCCTTGGCTGAATCCAGGTGCCCAGTGGTGGCCAGCGAAGCCTTGGAGCACAAGGAATATAAAACCATAGCAGGAGAGTGCGACGCTAGAGCTCCCAGAAGCTCGGCAAAGGCTGGGTCCTGGTACGTGAAGGCCCAAAGTTCTGCACTCCCACAAGGAAAATTCATTCTTGAACCTGCTCAATTTTCAGTTGAAGGGAAAAGCAGTTTCCAAGTAGGTGTGAGACATTAAAAAGCACAGAAAGCTGTGGTACATATCTGGAGTATGCGCCCTCTTAAAGAAAACATGTGTTAGGGGAGGGAGTTGTAAAAATCCCCTATCTTTTTCCAAGGCTAAGCCAGCAAACCTAGCTACAAATCCGTCCCCAGAGGAATCACGTCCCCAGCGGCTCCTGCCGCCCCCCCCCACTCTCTCACACAACCGAAAACACCGACTTACTTTAAATTTTATTTAAAATCTCAACACTCCATCATTTGTTTCGTTTTATGCAACCAAACAAGTAATAAATATTATTTAGCACTTTTTTCTTTACAAAAATAAAACAGATGATAGATACGACTCTGCAGGGGCCGCGCGGAGAGTTGGGGTGGTAGGAGGCAGACGGCCGGCCCCGTGAAGCCCGCCTTGTAGCGCAGCGAAAGAAAACAGCCGGCTTAGACTCCGGAGGGGCTGGCAGCCACTTGAACAAAGAACCTAGTATCGTGCACTTCATTTATATTATATTTACATACACAAGAAATTATCAAAGTCCCAACAGAACCCCCTCCCAAATAACGCAAACGATATTCACAGCGACTTTTTGATGTTACTGTTCTGGCAAGCCCTCAGGTACCTAAAACAGCTATCCCCAATCGGGTAAGAAACCAAATTACCTTGTGCTTAGAATGGGGGGCGGTGTGTGTGGTTTCTATTTAAAAATAAGATCTAAAAAGCATCCCGTCCCCCCATATCGGTAATTTGGATTATTCCCTTCCGCAAGTGCTTCTATTTCGAGCGACTGTAAAACTTGCTCGCGTGGTCGGAAAAAGGAACATTCACAGATTTGTTAGGAAACCACAAGTCAACAGGAGAGACAGGACAGAGGGTCACACTTCTGAGACCACATAGTTTCCCCAGTTATGGAAATGGGACACGTCCCTAAGTGCTTCTGGTACCCACGCCAGCGTCAACTAGTTTAGGGCCCTTGGCCCTGGGTCAGGGATGAACCTTGGGAGTGAGGCTTGCCGGTGGCTTCCATAGTGCGGCTTCTGGGAGTCTCCTACCTGGCCCGAAATGGGTAAAGGTTGCCAAGTGCCCCTGTGATCTACCTCTTGGCTACAAGCTGCCTAAGCCGAGACAGGGAGTCATTCTGAGCACATGGGAAAGACAGTTTTAGACTCTTCCTAGCGGTGCAGAGTGGGCGTTCCAGTGATGGAGGTACCCGCGAGTTGTGGCCATTTTGTACCGCGGCGTCTCCCAGAGCCACCGAGAGTTCAGTCAAAGAGTTAACCAGGTTCTGGAGCAAGTGTGCCTCGCTCCCTATTGCTCCAAATGCTCCCATTACTTCCGTTCCCAGAGACAGGACTCCCTGTAATCCCCTAGGCCCAGCCCGTAGTCTAGCTCCCCTTCTCACAACGGAGTTCCGGAGCCCCAGCGCTGGCCAGTCCTGGCTGCTCCACAGCCCTTGGCTCTCCAGAACGCACCCCCGCTGGCCCGCTCACTTGGCGTCGGAGGTGAGGCGCGGCAGGCTGCCGGCGCCCATGGCCGACACGTGGTGGTGCGGCGGTGGCACCTGGCACATGCTGCAGGGGCACGGCATGCCGCCCCAGTGCTGGAAGCCACCGCTGCTACCGCTGCCGCCACCCCCGCCTCCGAGAGGGGCGGCTGTGGCAGCCGATGGAGACTTGAGCAGGCCGTGGGGAGGCCGGATGGATCCCACCGAGGACAGCCCGGAGCCCGGCAGGGAGGCGCTGGACACCGCTGCAGCAGCGGCTGCGGCAGCTGCGGCTGCGGCTGCGGGAGGAAGGATGGGGTGGTGCACGGCCGGGTGGTGCGCGGCGTGCGCTGCGGCTGCGGGGTGGGCTGTGGCGGTGGGTAGTGGCGCCGTGTGTGCCAGGCCGCCACAGGCGGACGGGTGGAAGCCGGCATGGTGACCGCCATAGATCTCGCTCACCAGTCGCTTCATCTCCTCCAGTGAGTTGGTGAGCATCAGGATGTAGTTTCGCGCCAGCAGCAGCGTGGCGATCTTGGAGAGCTTGCGCACCGATGGGCCGTGCGCATACGGCATGACCTCCCGCAGGCCATCCATGGCTATATTGAGGTCGTGCATGCGCTTGCGTTCGCGGCTGTTGATCTTCAGGCGCAACTGCTGCAGCTCGGGCTCAGTCATCTGCTTCTTGTCTTTCTTGGTGGACGACGTGGCTGCAGACGACGTGGACGAGGAAGTGCTGGAGGAAGACGACTTGAAACTGCCGCCGCCCAGTTTGTCCCCGGGATGCGCGCCCGCAGCGCCCATGGCCCCTCGCAATTCCGCGCTCAACTCCGGCGGGCAGTCGCTCGGCGTGGACGAGGACACGGTCCCCCCCGTGAAGCCGCTGCTGCTGCCGCCCTTGCTTCGGGCCGGCAGAAAAAGATCATCGGGTTCTGGCGACGACGGGCGGCTAGACACCAGGCTGGCGTCCGAGTCCATGGCCCCAGAGATAATCTCAACTTTCGAAGGGTCCTTCCTTTTTCAACTGTCGGAACTTGAGGAGAGTAGGGAAAGGAGAGAGAGAGAGAGAGAGAGAGAGAGAGAGAGAGAGAGAGAGAGAGAGAGAGAGAGAGAGAGAGAGAGTTACGGCTCCTGCCTGCACCTCAGCTTCTCAACATACCCGCAAAGGTGGCTGGTGTCTACCTCGTTGCTGTTTCTGGCCCTCCAGCATCTCCGGACACCGCTGAGCTCCAAACAAACCTCCCCTCCCCCTTCCCACAATCGCCCACTGGTTACTTTATTTCAGGGAGTTCTGGTTGGCCCTCGAAAGGGACATTCTGGAGGTTTTGTTTCTTCATTACGGCCTAAAATAAAGGAGGACTTTTCTTTGGGCTGGGGCGCTATCTCATGCTCGAACGCATCCAGCTTATCTCCACCGACAGGACGCCGTAAACACGGACACGCCTGCATACCGCACCTAGAGCCAGCACGGGGCCCACATTCCAGCTGCTGTTTCTGCAGCTCCGCGCGGCCAGCTTGTGGATCTGAGTTCCCGCAACAGGAGTTATTGGTACTGGGGATGCTGCGTTGAGTGTCGGCACCAAAACAGCTATTAGGTATGGCTGACCCGCTGAGGCAGGATCCCGGCCAGCAGGCGAACACCTAAGTGTACATCCTAAGTCCTAGCGGAGTTGGGGGAAGTCAGTTCTTGGGATCTAGGCTTGGGTAGTTGAGGGGCGGAGACACTTACTGTGAATTCGATTCGTGGTGCTTGCTGCAGGGAACCTGGCTGCTGATGCTGGTGTTGGCTCGGTCTGTAATCAGCATCCACACCTTTCGGGGTTCCGCGGGTTTTTATAGTCGGGTGGAGACAGTGGCGACGGCAGTGGCGGTGGTCCGGGCGGGGGCGGGAACAATGTGCTTTTCCTGGATCCTGGAGGGGCAGCAGCTCCAATGAGCTGGGCCGGCCCGAGGGGCTGCAAAGCTGATGTCACCCGGCTAATTCCGCTCAATGAAACCCGCCCGGCAGGGCACACGCCTCCTCTCAGCGCACAGCCAATGGGCTCCCGCGGTCGAGAGATTCGTGAGGAGGGACGGGAGGAGGGCCCTGGGCAGGGAAAGGAAAGGGCGAGGGAGGGGGAGGGCTAGATAGGTGGGGTGCTGGTAGAGAGGGTTAGGGGACCCTGGGAGAAAGGGGACATCTGCAACTTTCTGTAAAAATATAATTATTGTAGCGTCAGGCCGGGGCAAGGAGTGGGGTGGGGACTCTGCAAACTCCTCAACCAACCAATTTAGTGTCTTAGGGTGTACCCGGAGGCTGCGTGTCACACCTGGAGTCCTTGATAACTCCCCCGTCCTCACCACCGGCGCGCCTTTTTTTCCCTGCCGTCCGTCTCTATCTGGGATCTGGGGGTTTTCATCCATCTGTGAACATTTGAGGTTGTTAAAGTAAAGGCTAACCGTGCTCAGAACACCCCACTGCCTTAGCCCGCTTCTAATTGGTGGGTGTTGCTGCAATTCAGAGGACAGGCGGTAGCGCCCCCAGGTGGGGGCACGGCCTTGGAGAACACAGGCCGGCGAGGAAGCCGCAGAAACAACAGTTCATCTTTATGTTGAGGGTTCCACAGAAGCACGAGTGAGATGTTCACTCAGTCATCGCTCGCACTAACGCACAGCCAACCGGTTAAAGACCCCACTCCCACCGATCAGCAAGGGAGCGCAGCCACAGTAGTTCTATCACCATCTTGGCGTCCAAATCGTGGGGGTAGGGGCAACATTATTTGGAAAGAACCGTCTGGGGCCCTAAAGGGGAGTTGGTCCTTGAACTACACTTCTGGTTGCCTCTGGACACAGAGAAGAAACCCAACCTGGAGAACTGTCTGGGTTAGTCTAGAGATAACTACAGGTTCACCTATTTTACAGAAGTGAAAATCTAGGAACTGATTCCAGCAAACCTGCAGGAAAAACCCGTGGCCAGTCTTAGACAGGTGGTTCTTGCCTACCACAGATGTAAGCATTCAGTGGTCCCTAAGCTTAGAAATAGCATATTCTCTCTCCAACCCCCAACTGTTTCTCACACCCAGACATTTTCAGCTTTAACTCTGTTTTGTTTGTTTGTCTGGGTATTTATCTGCACAGATTTCAGCTGTTATCCCCCGCCCGCTCAACACGTGGGAGCCCAGTTCTTTCTTAAGGAATTTTAACTCTCCTTCCTCTGGTTATTTCCATTGCTCAGTATTTTAATTCCCATATATAGTTATAACAACAAGCAAAACAGACAATCAGCAGTTTATCTTGTAGTAAAGTCAGAACAGACGTGAAAACTCAGGCTATTGCTCCTCACTCGGTGCTGTCTCCCTCTGGGGTCTGCCCTGGAGAGTGGGTTGTCACGGTTGCCCTAGTCTCGCGCCTTCTGGGGCATTGTTTTCCAACCCGCGTGTTTCCCAGCTGGCTCCTCAGCCATCCGTTAAATATGTATTTAAAACATGAAGAATTGAAGCGTGGTGATAATGTCGCCCAACGGTTACGAGGATGACCCATAACCATTCAAATAGCAGAATCTGTCACACGGGGCTTGGGGTGGGGATTAGGAGTTTGGGCTTGTGAGGACCTCTCTTGGCTCTTTGGGCGGACTTCAGTGAGGGCGTGTATGGGGGTGCGTTCTGTGGGGCTACCAGCTGGGGCGTGGAGCTGTGCGCCTGCCAACCTAGCTAACAAACCTCAGGCGGCACAACGTGAGTGTGATTAGGTTGCCACAGCCCAGGCTTGTGTGGCCGCCTGAAGCATCCGGGAGTCCCATTTCCTCCTTTTGTTGATTTCTTCTGGTTTGTCTATCCTGCGTCCGGAAGTCTGTGAGAGTCAGCAGGCTAACATTCTCTACACACTTGATCCAGTAGCTGGAGTTGGAGACCGGTATGAAAGTTGAGGGATCCATTCTACCGCGGGGAGAATCTCGAGCGTGGAAAAGCAGGACCGGAGGCAGGAGCGCACGGCTTGCTTGCTCCTCTTCCTCCCCACTAACCGCTCCACGCCCCCTAGCCCTGTGGCCAGGCCGTTGGTCCAGCGGTTCCAGGAAGTGCAGCGGCATCTCGTGGTCCTCACTCCCGACGTCCGAAGCTCTGACCCGCAGCTCCCAACTGTCTCCTCCTCCTATCCGCTGCTTTCCTTTCATCTGAGCTGCTTGTGGCCTGGAGGCCATCGGTATTCCCGGGTCTCTGGCTGGGCGGCAAGTTCGAGGCTGGGGGGACGTTTCCTTGCGTCTCCTTTACCGCAGCCCCTCGCCCCCCCGCCCCCGAAACAAGACGGGGTTGGCAAACTTTCGCATTTGTCCAGCTCCTGCCTATGTGTCCAGGGCGGGCCCGGAGCTGCGTTTCCCACCCTCGTGCGCAGCTGGACCAGAGCGCCTTCCCCAAGAATTGAGTGCTCACTTGCTGAGGCTAATCCGCCAGCCAGGCTCAGGCACTTCCTGGCTGGCCTTGGCGTCCAGGAGCTGTTGGCCCCCTCCTTCAAAAACGGAAGACGTGTTTTTCCCTCTCCTTTGTGTTTCCTTAGCACAAAAGGCCGGGTGCGTGTCAGGGCCGGCCTTTGCTCTACAGCCTGGCGGCCCAGGAGGAGCCAGTGCCAAACCCGCTGCGGTGTACTCTCGCGGGGCTCCAGGGCTCAGACCTCCCACCGCTTCCTAGTTCCGCGCTGGGTTCTGGCTCTCCTTCCTCCCTTCCTTGGTCCCTACTAGCATTCAGGTTGCGACTCTGCCTGGCTGCCAAGGAGAATGGTGTCCTTGCGCAAAACCTTCTCCGGGTGGGGGGTGGCTGTGGCAGGCAAAGCTCCTGACACTGGAGAGTGGGGGTGGCCGGTAGAGGTCCGGAAGCCAGAAGGAAAGCAGAATGGCAGCTTTAGGGCTCAAACGTGTGCGGTAAGATTCAGAGCTCAGCTCACGGGCCAGCCAGGCCTTGCCAGTGTCTTGTTCTGCAAACCGCCTGGCAGGTGGCATGCGGTCCGTGAACGTTTCTGAAGGCGAAGTCCTGCAATTGTGCACGGACTAGAGCAAAGCAGAACAGTAAAATAGTCTATCTACAGACAAAGATGTGTTGACTATTTAATTGATGTACTCATCAATTTTTTTTTATTTTGTGGAATATTGGAATTTTTTTTAATTTTTTTTTATTGAGAATAGGAAAAAAAAGTTTCCGCCTCCTCCCAGCCTCCCATTTCCCTTCCCCTCCCCCCACTCCTCTCCCCCTCCCCTCATCAATTTTTTTATTTAAAGTCAGTACTCTGGATTGTAGGCTGTGTCAGAGCGCCTTTAGGCTGGTGTCTACTTCAAGGTTACCTGAGCCATTGCCTGCACTTAGCTGGTTTGGATGGGCTTTCTTTCAGTCATTCTCTCACTGGTCCTAAAAAGAAACTGAGTCTTGGAGAGGTGTGAGCTTTTGACCCAGGTCCCTTAATGATCCATGCCATTAAAATGAATCTCTGTCCTGGCCCAAGTTCCTGGCGGGATGACATTTGGAACAGAACAGGAACGAAAATGAACTTCTGTTGGATTCAGCATACAAACCGTGATGTTTTCCCAACAGCCTCTTTGGTGTTGCTATGGAAGTATTGTTCCCATCTTACAGATACCAACGATTGATTTGTCAAGGTAGGGATGGATCCCAAGTATGCCACAGCTTCGTTCTGAAATTCCATCCTCCTTCCTGCCCTGCAAGGCATCCAGGAGGCACTGGGCCTTCACTCTTTCCATGCTGGGTTTTTCAGACAGAATCAGGAGTGACCCAATGCTCCAGAACTAACCTCCTGCCTCATCAGAATCAACCTAGAGGGTGGGAGGTATAGGTAGGAGAATTCAGGTCCCCAGGTACCTACAGGTAGGCATCCTTGGTCCTGAGGTTAGCCTGCCCAGTTTAGTTGTAAGGTAGCTTTAGCTACGAAAGGCTGGATTCTAGATAAGAAGCAACTGGTTTCAGAGGGCACAGAAGATGCACCCAGGCTGTTGATAATTCCTGTTGATGGGTTTCGGGAATAACAGATACCGGTA